AGAGAGAGAGAGAGAGAGAGAGAGAGAGAGAGAGAGAGAATGTGGAATTGGTTTATTGGTTTTCTCCCGTGTTCCTGTGGGTTTCCGGGGTAAACTCCATTGTCAGGCTTTAATGGCAAATACTTTGATCTGTTGAGCCATTGCACTGATCCCCAGAATTTATTTTTGTTATTAACAGGCTTGACTTTTTAAAGTTGATTTGTTTTGTTTTGTGTTTTCCATATAGACTGACAAAGATGAACAGATCAGAAAAATAAAGTCTAGGCACAGTGATGAACTAACTTCACTGTTGGGATATTTTCCTAACAAAAAGCAGCTTGAAGACTGGCTTCATTCTAAATCCAAAGAAATTAATCAGACCAGGGACAGACTTGCCAAACTGAAGTGAGTTGCTAAAACATCACCACTAATACTGATCTTTATTTTATGCTTATTTTTATTGTTTTAAGCATTCATTGTCATGAGATGGTATGTCGTATTCAATTGACTTCTGGCAATTTAAGTCAAATATAATGGGAGTAGTTGGGGCCTCTCGTCTCTTAAAACTGTAGAAAAAGATTGACATCTGGAAGTTTTCTGTCTGAACAGTACATTACTTAGACTTTTCTCACGAGCTCTCTTAAGTGCTGGTTACATAAGCGGTATTTCTCCGTGAGTTCTAGGGAGATAGTAGATTTAGCTTTTGCTGTATTAAACTAACAGTGGTTTGTTTGTTCCTTGTTTGAGCAGGGTCTCACAATGTAGCCCAGGCTGGTCTCCAACCTAAGGTCCTCTTGCTTCAACTTTGAAGTGCTGGAATTATAATGTATATGTCACCATGCCTGGCTCAAATTCGTATTTCTTTTGCAAGAGTCTTTTAGTGAGTAGACTTTTAAGTTCAGGAAGTTGCAAGTTGTTGCAGTTTTTAAAAAGATAAAGTAATTGGTATAAGCCATGTCACCTTGAAAGAACTGTACAAAGAGGGGTAAGATATCTCAGAAAGTGCCCTTACTGCCAAGCCTCATGACTTCAGTTCATTCTCAGGGGCCCACATGGTGGGAGAGAACTGATTTCTGCAAGTTGTCCTGGAGTCTCCATATGCATACCATGGCATGCATGGCCTCCGTAGTGGGAAAGGAAAGCGGGGTGTACAGCTAAATACAAGGAGTAATTGCCACTGGCAGGCTAAGGAAAAGGAGCTGTCAGTGGAAGCAGCAACTGCTTGGGGAACCAGGACGAGGCAGCAGGAGTGGTGTTTGGGGTCAAGGAGAGCTCAGTAGGGTTAGGTGCTTCTTGGAGACTGGATAGGGTGAAGACTGCACTTGTTTTTGATGAATGAGGGGGATGAGGGACCACGAGGTGAGGAGATGACAGCAACAAGAAGGGACAGGGGAGGTGTTTAGAGGTGCGGTGAGGGAGATCTATGGAATAGAACTGCCACTCGTTCTCTGTCTCCAGTAGAGCCAGCAGGAGGCTTCTACTTGCTCCATCTCATAATCTGGGATCTAAGACTGTGAGCCCCAGAAATATAGCAGAATTCTGTCCCTGTTTATTTATCTGGGGATAGGTCCATGCTCCGGATTAGCAGATGGGTCAGTGTCCTAGGGGGAGCATTTGACTAGAAGATTGAATTAGAACATTCAGTCTGTTCCTCTGACTTCTAAAGAAAGAATATGGCAGAAGTGTAGCTCAGTGGTAGTGTGTGTACTTACCATGCTTGAGGTCCTGGGTTCTATTCCCAGCACAAAACTATATAAAGTAAAAATATAGGAGAATAATTGTTCATACTTTTTAACACTTTTGTCAGACTTTGTCTGGTATCTCTTTAATCAAAATTTTCAAATTTCTAGGGAGTTGGAAAAGACAGTTGAGTGGTTAAGAGCACTGGCTACTCTTGCATTGGATCTGGGTTTAGTTCCCAGTATGCATGTGGTGGCTCACAACCACCCGTAACTCCAGTTCTGTGGCATACAATATGCTTTTCTGACCTCTCTGGGCACCAGACACATACATTGTGCATGTCTGTATATGGAGGCAAAGCATTCTGACATATAAACTAAATCTAAATAATTCAATTTTTTTTCAAATACCCCACATTTGTTTTTATTTTAGCAAAGAACTAGCTTCAGCCGAACAAAATAAAAATCATATAAACAATGAGCTAAAGAAAAAGGAAGAACAGTTGTCCAGTTATGAAGATAAGCTATTTGATATTTGTGGTAGCCAAGATTTTGAAAGTGATTTAGACAGACTTAAAGAAGAAATTGAAAAATCCTCAAAGCAGCGAGGTAAGTTACAGTTTATATTATCAGTTTGACTTTTGAAATTTCATTCACAGGTAACTGCTGAGGATCAAAGATTTTAAGACTTATTTTAAAATTAATTTTAATTGCGTATGTGAGGGAGTATGTGCATATAAGTCAGGTGTCCACCAAGGCCAGAGGCCTCAGATCGTCCCTGGAGGCGGTGTTGCAGATGATAGTGAACTGTCCAGTGTAGGTGCTCAGAACTAAGTCTGCTCCTCTTGCTAGAGCAGAAGTGCTCTTAGCTGCCGAACCACCCCTCCAGCCCGAGCATAGGAGATGTTAGAACTTTGTATGGACCCAAATGACTCGCACTTGTTCCTGGCTGTGTAGTTTCACTGTACAAGTAGCTTTGGGGACTTGGTGAACCTTTCTTGTGCTTCAGACTTATCATCTATAAAATGAAAATAAAGCTATGCATTATATAGTATGTTGAAGAGGAGTAAATGAGATTGTGTCTAAGAAATGCCTAGCACATAGAAAGATCTCAGTAAAATGTTAGATGCCAGAAATGTATGCAAATTGAATATCGAGTATCCTTAGGAAGATTTAAATGTCAAACTCTTTATTTCATTTGGGTATACTTATAAAGCAAGAATAATTATGGAAGAAAGTATGTGTGTCTGACTAGGATTTCTTAACCTTTTTAAATAGCCATGCTGGCTGGAGCCACAGCAGTTTACTCCCAGTTCATTACGCAGCTGACAGATGAAAACCAGTCCTGTTGCCCAGTCTGTCAGAGAGTATTTCAGACAGAGGCTGAGTTACAGGAAGTCATCAGTGACTTGCAGTCCAAGCTGAGGCTTGCTCCAGATAAACTCAAGTCAACAGAGTCAGAACTGAAGAAAAAAGAACGGCGCCGTGATGAAATGCTTGGGCTTGTGCCCATGAGGTAAGCCTGAAGTAGTCATGGGGGCGGGTGGTCTTTACTCTGTGTGCTTCCTGAGACTTGGCTTGAGTCATAGTTATGACAGGTTCTAAACTAGTTCTTGATGTCATTTTCCAAACCTCACAAACAAATTAAAATATGAAAAGTTCTTCTAAAAAACAAAATATTTTTTTTATGTGGGTGTAGGTGTTTGCCTACATGTATGTTTGTGCACCACATAGGTACTTGGTACCCACAGAAGCCAGACAAGGGTATTAGATCTCTTGGGACTGGAGTTACATGTGGTTGTGAGATGCCATGTGAGGGCTGGAAACTAAATCCTGGTCCTTTGGAAGAGTAACCAGTGCTCTTAACTGCTAAACCCCCCTCTCCCCCCAAAATCCCTCCAGCTTTTATTTATTTATTTATTTGGTTGGTTGGTTGGTTGGTTGGTTGGTTGGTTGGTTGGTTTTTCGAGACAGGGTTTCTCTGTGTAGCTCTGGCCCTCCAGCTTTTAAAATTACATTTTATTTATTTGGTGTGAGTATGGATGCAATGCCATGTCATTCATGTGGCCTTCAAAGGACAACTTTCAGAAGTCTGTTCTCTCCTTTCCACCATGTGGGTCCTGGGGATCAAACTTAGACTGTTAGGCTTGGTGGCTGGCGTCTTTACCATTAAACAATCTTGTCATCCCCAGAAGACAACTTTAATGGTTTGTTTTATGTTGTTCTCACCATTAACTCCTTATGTTCTGGGTATGGGCCACCACGTCCAGCTCCAGATAGATCCTAATAGTCCGTTCTCTAGAAGGGAAGTTTCTTACTGTTTAAAGAACAATTATTGTAGCATCTTAAATCATCAAGAGGAAGGGCCACATTGAGAAAGTGTGTGAGAGACTTTGAGAGCAGGATTAGCACTGTATGAATGCTCCTGGTTCTTAGCCATCGTTCTGCTGTCGTAACTGTCCCTTTTTACTTGTAACATGTTTGTGACCACGGTTTTTGGAAGTAATAAGAAACAGAATTAATTACTCATGTTAATATACATATGAAGTAGGAATGATTCATTGTACTTTTCTTTTCTCTCTTTTTTTTTGTATAAGAACTTGTCTGTTATCACAGTACTTTTAGGTTGGCATTTCTTGGTCATAGTGTAGACTTTTTAAAAATCAATAATGGTTACAGTATGTGATAGCCAACATTTGGGTTGCTGTTTTTTTTTCTTGTTATTAGCAGCTAATTTAATTTATTGTACCTTTTACAATATTTACCTTAGTAATTTAATTTTAAGTAAGAATTTGTGTTTTCAGAAATAATCTTTTTTTTTTTTAAAGTATGTACGGGTATTTTTTTTCTTTATGATTGGTCCAATACATGCATGCAATGCTCACGACGACCAGAAGATGTCACTGGACCTCATGTAACGGTTGTTACACACAGTTTTTAGCCACCACATGGGTGCTGGGAATTAAACCTCAGTTCTCCGAAAGAATAACCGGTGCTTTAACTGAGCCATCTCTTCAGCCCCTAAACTTTGAATTTTCTTTTAAAAACTAAATATGTGTTACTGTTTTACAGTTGATATCAATAATAGGTATAGAGCCACTACTTGTCTTAGAGACAGTAAATGAAGTTCAAATAGTGATATTAAAAAAGATTGATGGGCTGGGTGGTGGTGGCACACGCCTTTAATCCCAGCACTTGGGAGGCAAAGGGAGGTGGATTTCTGGGTTCGAAGCCAGCCTGGTCTACAGAGTGAGTTCCAGGACAGCCAGGGCTACACAGAGAAACCCTGTCTCAAAAAAAAAACCCAAAAAAACAAAAACATACTGACATCACTGGGCTATTGACAGGATGTCCTAGAAAGGGTTGGCAGCTTTTCTGTGCTGTTCTTGCCAAAAACACATAGCTTCACTTTAATTTTGAGAAAATGTCAGCTAGATTAACTTTCATTGTGTTTCTTTTAAGGCAAAGCATAATTGATTTGAAGGAAAAGGAAATACCAGAATTAAGAAACAAACTACAGAGTGTCAATAGAGACATACAGCGCCTAAAGAATGACATAGAAGAGCAGGAAACACTCTTGGGCACAATAATGCCTGAAGAAGAAAGTGCTAAAGTATGCCTGACAGATGTTACAATTATGGAGAGGTTCCAGGTAAGCTACTGCAGTTTAAAGCAGAATAAAATTGATTTGTGGGTTTTTGAATGTGAAGTGTGTTAAAAACAGTAGCTAGGCATGGTGGCACATACCTTTAAGCCCAGCCTTGTTGAGGCAGAGGCAGGTGAATCTTTGTAAGTTCAGGGCCAGCCTGGTCTATATAGCAAGTGCCAGGTCAGCCAGGCCTACACAGTAAGACCATGTCCTCCCTCTTTCCCCCATAGATACATATGTATACACACACACACACATACACACACACATATATATATCTCAGCTAATTTTCAGGTGCAGACAACTGATTTGTATGCATTCCTAGGATTAAAGTGTTCATAAGGTTGAGGCATAATTCATTTACCTTATTTGAAGGACTAGAACTTAATTTCACTTTTTATGTTATTAAACTTGGTCTTAAAAGGGTTTGAATCATGATGGTGCAGTAAGTCTCTTAGAAATAACTGTTGTGTTCTTAAGATGGAGCTGAAAGATGTTGAAAGGAAAATTGCACAGCAGGCAGCTAAGCTGCAGGGAGTAGACTTGGATCGGACTGTTCAGCAGGTTAACCAGGAAAAACAGGAAAAGCAACACAAGCTGGATACAGGTAATGTGTCTTTGTTCACATGCCACAAAGGTGTCAGTACTTGCTCTGTGGAAGAGCCCACTGTGCATTCATTCTCTTCTTTCCAACTATCACTGCTTGGCTTCTTTGCTTTGTGCAACAGACTTAGAATTGTAGACGGTCAGACGAGCTGGCTCTTTCCCAGTGGGACCTGCCCTGTGAGCTTCACCCAAGAGTGGCCAGGGTGGGGACAGCAGGCAAGATACCCTGCTGTGTGCAGAAGGGGGGCCCTGGAATTCAGCCTTTGAATTGTGTGTACTTGAAGAACTCAAAGAATGATAGTGGTGTTGTCTGTACCCAGCCACTAGCCACTGTGTCATTATGTTTCTGTGCAGTTTCCAGTAAGATTGAGTTGAACCGTAAGCTAATACAGGACCAGCAGGAACAAATCCAACACCTGAAAAGTAAAACAAATGAGCTGAAATCAGAGAAACTGCAGATAGCCACCAATCTGCAGCGGCGTCAGCAAATGGAGGAGCAGACTGTGGAATTATCCACTGAAGTTCAGTCTTTAAACAGAGAAATAAAGGTAGCAATGTGCATACGTGCTGTTTTTTAAGTTACTTCAGGCACAAAATTCAAAATTGTTGTTAATGTAACACATAATTACAGCTATTGTGAAAATCAAGTGTAAGTGTTAAAACGCTTCGTGTGATTTCTAAGTGACAGAGTGGGTATTAATAAGTAAGGATTTGGGAAGAAGGGGTTGGGCACGTAAGGAAGACCCAAGTGTCTGCTTAGGTGGTAGATTTCATGTTACTGGAAGTGGCCAGTTGGTGTCTGCCATGGATACAACACTTGGGGACACCTATATGTCAGCACTGCTTCCATTTGCTCTCATGTGTGATTCAGATACTTGCCTGTACAGTGAGCAGGCATGGACATGCCACAGACAGTGAAATGTACCCACTGGCTTTATCTCAGTGAATCAAAGCAAAGGTCCTAACCCAGGATTTCTTAATTAGAGTCACTCAGTAAGCACTACAAAAGTTACCCAATTTATTTAATAGTAATTGTTATAAATGTTCCTTCTTAAATAATTTGTGGACTAAATAAGTTGGGCTTATAACACAAAATAGTATTAACTTGCACTAGTCTTGGCTGGTTATAAATGATTTTTACTTAAAATATTGAGTGCCTCCCAGCCCTGTTGAAATAGATTACCAAGTAGGCATGTGTAGAAAAAAGAAACTGGGATTTTAAAGCCCCATAGTTACCCAGAGGAATCGAGGTTGACTCTCAGAAAGATCTTCTGACGGGGGCTGTGGCTTTCCACCATACCACCATCTCCCAGCATGAGAGAACACCAGGACTGAAGTCACAAATGAATGGCTATGTCTACCTGTAACCTTGTAGGTTCAGAACATGTTCAAGATTTCAAGGTTCATTGTTTTAAACTGTGGTTATCATGTATGTGTTTACAACAGCAGTGTTATAAGGGATTTCTAATTAGTGCAGTAGTTTATCATTTGAAAGTCCTCTTTCTTCCAGAATACGTGTGGGTACACCACCATCAGTCAGTATGCTGCTACTACCATGAAAATAACTGCTTAACTAACATGTAAGAAAGAATGTTGGACTGAATGACCTGCCTAGTCTTTGATCACATAGAGCTGATATAGGTCCATCGGTTCCTGTTGAGCTCTTAAAAATCCGTATATAAAACTATGTGGTATAATTGGGACCATGTGGCCTAGATCAATACTCTAATCATTTTGGTAGACTCATGTCTGGAACCAGGCTAGGTTAGACTCTTAGCTATTTCAATTGATTATTTTATTTATTTGATTTACGTCCTGACCACAGTTTCCCCTCCCTCCTTTCTTCCCAGTCCTCCCTTGCTTCCCTCCCCTCCATTCACTCCTTCTTTTCTCTTAAGAAAATGGGAGGTTTCCATGGATATCAAGGAACCCTGGCATATCAAGTTGCAGTAAGACTAGGAGAGGCAGCACAGTAGGGAAAAGGGTCCAAAGGCAGGTGACAGTCAGAGACAGCCCCTGTTCCTGCTGTTAGGAGTCCTCCATTAAAGACACAAGTGTGACATGTACAATGGGCCTAGATCTGCCCATGAAGGTCCCATGGTTGGTGGTTCAGTCTCTGTGAGCCCCTATGGGCCCAGGTTAGTTAATTCTGTGTAGCTTCTGTTGTGGTATCCTTGACTTCTGGCTTCTTTAGTCCTTCCTCCCCCTCTTTCGAAGGAAAGCTCCACCTAATGTTTGTCTGTTTGTCTCTGTATCTGTTCCAATTTTTTGCTGGGTGAATCCTCTGTGATGACAGCTATGCTAGGCTCCTTTCTGCAAGTGTAGCAGAATATCATTAATAGTGTCAGGGTTAGGCTTCCTCTCATGACATGGGTCTCAAGCTGAGAGAAGTTGTAGGTTGGCCATTCCCTCAATTTCTGCTCCATCTTTATCCCTGTGTATCTTATAGACAGGACAGATTGTAAGTTAAAGGTTTTGTAGCAGGGTTGGTGTCCAATCTCTCTATTGTAAATCTTGCCTGGTTACAGGAGATGGCCAGTTGAGACTCCTGTTGAGGTGATTATTTAAAATTGGTCACTGGTTAAACCGACTATGTAAGCTGCAGTAGCTCTCCCTAGCTCAGCCGACGTGCGCACTACTAGAAACGGCCAGCCAGAAATACCAGCCCTGCTACCCACGATCTTCCACACTGTCTCCACAAGGCTGGGCAGTGCCCAGACCATCCTGCCATCCACGCGGGCCCAGTAGGAAGATGAGACTCTAATGCTTAAATTATCCAAAAGTTTATATATTTGGTAATGATCAATAACAAGATGCCCATACAATCAGAAGTGTAACCCAATATCCAACCTAGATATACCAACTACCTCTGACTGCTACAGACATGTGAACATCCGCCTCCATGTTCCTTTTTTTCCCTCCCTCCCTCCCTCCTCCCTTCCCTCCCTCCCTCTCTCTCTCTTCCTCTCTGTCTCTCTGTCTCTGTCTCTCTCTCTCTCTCTCTCTCTCTCTCTCTCTCTCTCTCTCTCTCTCTCTCTCTTGTTCCTCTCTCCTAGCACCTCCTCTTCTCTTCCTCTCCTTACTCCTCCCACCTTAGCTCCTCCTACACTTATCTACTAGAAGTCTTAGCTGGAGTCTCCTTGTAGATTCCTGGGAGTTTCCATTGCCCTAGGTATCTAGCTCATCCCAGAGATTGCCTGCCACCCACCATTCCAGTTGTCTCCCCCAATACTCAGCAATACTCCGTCTGCTGTCCTCCCCTAACCTAATCCCTCCTGTTCCCATCCCCTCCTCTCTGACCCAAAATATAAGATGTCTATTCTATTTATTTCCCTTTCTCAGTGAGATTCAAATGTTCCCCTTTGAGTCCTTTAGCTTCTTTGGGTCTATGGATTGTAGCATGGTTATCTATTATTTGATATGGTATGGTTGGTACCTACTTCATCTACTTTCATGACCTTGAACAAGTTACTGTTTGTGCCTGTTTCACTCTCTGAAATCTGTGGATAAAAGTGATGGTACCATATTCATGACCGTGTCAAGAGACAAAAATAAGTTCACATTAAAGCCTGACATCTGGGATCCATTTTATTAAGGCTATAGAACATCTAAAATAAGATAATGGAGTGTTACATGACTCTACATGATAGTCTGGTTTTGTATATGTGTGTGTGTGTTTAGGATGCTAAAGAACAAATAAGCCCTTTGGAGACAGCACTAGAAAAGTTGCAGCAGGAAAAAGAAGAATTAATCCACAGAAAAAATACAAGTAACAAAATGGCTCAGGATAAAGTAAGTTCTTGGTTATATATTTTACTTACTCAGTGTCTGTGTTAAACATTTATAGCACTGTTATTTCCTGTAAATAACTGCTAAGATAGAGTATCTTCAGGTTTGTGATCCCTTAGAGCTGGAGGTCTTCCTCCATTGCTCTCCAGCTTACCCCGTGAGGCAGTCACTCTCTCACTGAACCTGAGTCTCACTGGTGGGCCTCCAGGATCCTCCTCCCTCCCCTACCTCGATGCTGAGGTTACAGGCACACATAGCCATGCCCAGTTTTGGTTTTGTTTTGTTTTGTTTTTAACACGGTTGCTGGAAATTTGAAGTCAGGTCCTCAGGCTAGCATAGCAAGTGTTTCTATCCACTGAGCTGTGATAAATTTTTGATATTAGTAAATTCTTGAGTATAGCTGGCTGTCCTGGAACTCTGTCTATAGACCAGGCTGGTCTCCAACTCACAGAGGTCCACCTGCCTCTGCTCCTAAGTGCTTGGATTAAAGGTGTGCTCCACCACCACCTGTGTTTTCTCGAGGCAGTCTCATTCTAGCTCTGTCTGCCTCGGCACTTGATGTGTAGGCCAGGCTGGCCTTGGAGTCATGGCTATCCTCCTGTTTCAGCCTTCCTCCCAAGTACTAAGATCCCAGGCATATACTACCATGCCCAGCTCATCTAGTGTAAATGTTTTTGTATGTATGTGTTTGAATTTTATAAATGTTTTCCCACAGATCAATGATATCAAAGAGAAAGTTAAAAATATTCATGGTTACATGAAAGACATAGAGAATTATATTCAAGATGGAAAAGATGACTATAAGAAGGTAATTAAAACAAAATTAATATTTCTTTGTTTTTATTTAAAGTACTTAATGATTTTTAATTTCTTTTCTTTTCTTTTTTTAGCAAAAAGAAACTGAACTTAATGAAGTTGTTGTTCAACTAAATGAATGTGACAAACACAAAGAAAAGATAAATAAGGAAATGGGAACCATGAGGCAGGATATCGACACACAGAAGGTAGGCTTGCTGCCTGAGGGTGGGGTGTCAGCACTGTCGTGCGTCTCATTAAAATAGAGGATAAACTGGACGAAAAGCCAGGAGAGGAAATAACTCGTTTCTCTTCTACATTTTTTATTTTTCATTTTTATTTTTAACAAAGGACTCTGGTGGTAAAAGTTTAAACATGCCGGGCAGCGGTGGCGCACGCCTTTAATCCCAGCACTTGGGAGGCAGAGGCAGGCGGATTTCTGAGTTTGAGGCCAGCCTGGTCTACAGAGTGAGTTCCAGGACAGCCAGGACTACACAGAGAAACCCTGTCTCAAAAAACCAAAAAATAAAGTTTAAATATAAAAGGTCAGACACAGTGATGGTAGCACATACTTTTAGTATCAGCACTCAGAAGGCAGAGGCAGGTGCATCTCTTGAGTTCAAAGGCAGCCTGGTACATATATTGAAATCCAGGCCAGCTAGGGCTATTTATGGTATCCCATCTTTTAAAAAAAAGTTTAAAGATAAAAAAAACATTAAGTATCTCCCTCCTCAGTCTCCTTCTTAGATGTTGTTTCTTTCTTTTTTCGAGACAGGGTTTGTCTGTGTAGCCCTGGAACTCTAGATCAGAACTCACAGAGATCCTTCTGCCTCTGCCTCCTGAGTGCTGGGATTAAAGGTGTGTGCCATCACTGCCCGGCATATTCATATTGTCTTAAGCCAGATTGGATGTTTGCTTTATTGCTGTGTTGTACATGATAGTTAAAATTTCTTTGAAGACTTGAGGATATAGCTTATCGTTAAAATATTTGCCTTTTGAGGATTAGCCAGAGCTCTCTACTGGGTATCTGGCTATATCACCGAGCATTTTTTTTATTGTTTCATTGAGACAGGGTCTCACAGTGCAGGCTGACCTGTAACTAGTTGTATTGCTGAAAACCTTGAACTCCTGACCATCCTGTTTTCACCGCCCAAGTTCTGGGATTACAGGCATGTAAAACCATGCCCAGGCATTTCATGTGTGAAATACAAGGACAATTGGCCTGACCTCATACATGTATTTGGAATGTCTGCTTGTAGTGTGAGCAGACAGCTTTCAATGAGCTTCGAGCCAGGAAAGGAAAGAAAAGAATTTCTTTGATGTCTCTTGAGCTAAAATATATTCTTTTTAAAGATTTATTCGTGTGTGTGTGTGTGTGTGTGTGTATGTGTGTGTGTGTATGTATGAATGTATGTATGTATGTATGTATGTATGTATGTATGTATGTATATGAGAATGTACATGCCTGCGGGGACAAGAGGGCATCAGATTCACTGGAACTGGAGTTACAGGTGATTGTGAGCTATCAGTATGGGTCCCAGGAACCAAACTCCCATCCTCTGAAAGAGCAGCAAATGCTCTAACTGCTAAACTGTTTTTCCAGCCCTGTGGGACACACTGCTTTTTCTCTAGGACATCAGCCCTTCAGGCTCTTGGGCTGGTGATGTAGCTCAGTTTGTAGGGTACTTCCCTAGCATGTAGGAGGCTTTGGATTTGATCACTAGCACTGCATAAACTGTGTACATGTGTGTTACACATGCAGTGTTATACATTGGAATCCCAACACTAGGGTGGTAGAGGCAGGAGGAAGAAAGAATCTAAGTCTTAGACCACTGCCTCTCAGGTTCTTGGGCTAAATACTGAGCTGTGTTTCTGGCATCCTGGAATCATCGAGTTTGCCAACACATTGTTGTGAGCTTCCTCTGTAATTGTGTGAGTCAACTGTCCTAATGATTTCCCCCTCACATATCTGTATGCTATTGGGTCTGTTTGTCTGTCTGTCTGGAAGTCAAAAGTGACAAACTGTATGCATTATTGCAGCTGAGCTCTGTGGCTGGGCACTCACTTGGTATGTGCATGTTTAAGTCATGTTAAGTTATATCTTAAAATTCGCCTAGTCTCACAAAGACTTGATGTACCAGGGTGGGAAGACACCCAGGGGGCCCCCACCCACTCAGAGGAGAAGGGAAGGGGGAAAGGATTGTGAGAGGGGGTAGTGGGAAGGATGTAAACTGACTGTGTTAAATAAATAGTAAGAAATAAATAAGAAAGGGAGGGAGGAAGGGGGAGAGAGAGGAAAAGAGGGAAAGAGAATGAGAGAGAGAGAGAGAGAGAGAGAGAGAGAGAGAGAGAGAATATGAACGAGTGTGAGAGAGAACATGAGCAGGCTGAGAAGTCATGAGGATCAGGCTAGTAAGCAGCGTTCCTTCATGGCCTCCATCAGCTCCTGCCTCCTGCCTCCAGGCCCCTGCACTGCTTGAGTTTCTGTGCTGATGTCCTTTGTTAATGAACAGTGCTGTGGAAGTGTAAGCCAAATAAAACCTTTCCTCTCCAAAAAACAGTTTCATCCTAAAGTCATTTGAAGTCTACTCTGCCTCCCTTCTTTTGGTGAAGGAAAAATATATATGAAAAATATATATGAAGGGAAGGTAGAGATTATCGACATAAAATTTATAGTAAATTCACCCTATTTTGTCATGTTTTGAATACAGTACTAAACAGCACTGGTGAAAGCCAAGCACAGTGAGACACACAGGCTGTGCCTAGTGCTTACTGCTGAGTTCCAGGGACACTGAGTGACCATGGCTCAAAACAAAAAATACTGTAGACTGTGAGGAGTGACACTCAAGGGTATTCTGGCTGCCACACACAGACATGTGCAAAACATCAAACAGTACTGATGAACTTTAAGTGCTAACCTAGTTTTCCTTTCATTGTCTTATTCTTTTTTGGGGAGGAGGGGGTTCGAGACAGGGTTTCTCTGTATAGTCCTGGCTGTCCTGGAACTCACTCTGTAGACCAGGCTGGCCTCGAACTCAGAGATCCGCCTGCCTCTGCCTCCCAAGTGCTGGGATTAAAGGCGTGCGCCACCACTTCCCAGCTCATTATCTTATTCTTTATATTTTGTGAGCCGCAGTTAGAATTCCCACTGCTTACAATACAAAGAAAAATTGGACCCCAAAGCTCTTTACAAGCAGTTCCTAAGCCAAGCAGTGTCTTGCTGTACTTAGCCTTCACAGTGTTAACTTTACAGTAGGTGGCATTATCACCATATTCCATGCAGGCTGATACTTAGAGAATTTAAATTAGTTTGCCTAAAATTATACAATTTTAAAATGAGAACAACCTGACTTCACAAGCTGTTGCCTTTTACCTACTGTGCTTTCCAACTAAAGTAAGAACAGAAGCTAACCTAGAAGAAAGTCCTATCTTTTTGAGATCTGTGTGCAGCCAGGTTAGGAATGTTCCATGAGAATCACTTACCTCAGAGTGATAGCATTTTATAAAGAGCTCCTTCACTTATCTCAAAAGTTAATTCAAATATTAGATCTCACCAGATGAGAGTCATAGTAGTGCCTTTCCGTTTTCCTAATAAGGAAAAACGATAAGCCAGGTTCGCCATGGCAAGGCTTCAGAGAGCACAGCTGCCTGCAGCGTCTTGGGTTGCCTCAGACACTGAACACTTACAGCCATGTCACTTTGGCTACCTTAAGCTGTTTATAATAATTCCTCTCAAGAATTTGTATAATGGTACCTTAACTTTTTTTCTTCTCGAGAGTCTCACTATTTATCTCTGGCTGATCTGGAACTCATTCTGTAGACTAGACCTGCCTTGAACTCAGATTGTCCTGCCTCTGCCTCCTGGGTGCTGGGATTAAAGGCGTGCGCCACCACTGCCTGGCTTGATAATTGTTTAAAACAAATAGTGGTTCTCAGGAGTACAGTTGGATATAAACCTTTAGCATGCATGAGGAGAGCCTTGTCTCCCCTCTCCTAGTACCACGTCCATCACTGTGTGAAGCAAGTACAGTCAAAGCTCTGCTCTTTCCTCTGCTCCCACATCACTGAGTTTCTACAAGTTTCCCTACCAATGTCAGCTTCTAAATTGTCTCTTAATATTTTTCTCTTGTAATTCGTTATAATCACCAGGAAAACTATCCAGGTAGTTGTGCCAGGTGATTGAGTATCTTTTTTTGTTTGTTTGTTTGTTTGAGACAAGGTTTCTCTGTGACAGCCCTAGCTGTCCTGTAGACCAGGTTTGGCCTCCAACTCACAGAGATCTGTCTCTCCCTCCTGAGTGCATCCACCACTATGTCTGGCTTGAGTGTCTTTTTAAGGATTAAGACCACTTAGAATCAACAGCCAGGTTTTTTAATATTCTAGGTCAACTGGCAGAATGATCTCAAATTCACAGCTGTGTGTAACTTCCCATTCCTTTGTGTGATTATGGGTAGAGTATCCCTCATCCAGAGGATTAGGCACTAGCAATGTTTCATATTCTGTAGTTCTTTGAATTTTGTAGTAATTACATAGAGTCTACTAGTTGAACATCCCTAATCCAAAAATCTGAAATGCTGTCAGACCCATTATGTGGATTTTGGATGGTCAGAGTAGGACCACTCAACTAGTAGTTATCAGGCTGAAGGCAGAGGTTGTATCTGATGTACTCTAAAGGATCTAATAGTCTGGGCACACACAGGCGATGGAAAGACTAGGAAATAAAGTAGGGGAGACCTTAGTTTGTATTGATCTCAAGATTTGTTAAAACTTGTTTTTCACTAATGTTAATGGAGCAGCTCTTCAGATCAGCAGGCTGTGTAGTGGGGCTTCTGGGAAAGATGATCTACCAGGTGATAAGTATGAAATATAGTGTCTGGGCTGGGTACGGTGATAATACACCTTCAATCCCAGGAGGCTGAGGCAAGCAGATCTCTTTGAGTTCCAAGGCCAGCTAGGACTTCAAAATGAGACTCTGTCTGAAAAATATATAATAATTAAAAATAACATCTGGTTAATCTTTCCGTTTAGGATTATTATTTTGTGTGTATATAAAATGATCATATTTAATGACTACCAAATGTTCTGAAGTAAATAAGTACACAAAAATACATGGCCTACTCATTTATTAACAGGCTTATCCCCCGCCGAAGAAGAGACCTTACTTCATGGACAGGAAGGGGCAGTGTAAGCTGTTCTGTCCTTCCTGTCCCTTCCATCCCACTGGCTGAGTCTCCCTCTGGTTAGTTTAACTATTAGGAAGGTGGTGCTTTCACTAGCTGTCTGCATGTGCCTGTTAGTGGCTTGTTAGGGAGGTCATGTCCATGGCTTGTTTGTTTTTGTTAACTGATAACAATAGTTATGTCTAGATACAGGAAAGGTGGCTACAGGATAACCTTACACTAAGAAAAAGAAGAGAGGAACTGAAAGAAGTGGAAGAAGAGCGAAAACAACATTTGAAGGAGATGGGACAAATGCAGGTTTTACAAATGAAAAGGTATGTTTTCGTAAATTGTGTTTGTTGTTTATTTTTGAGGTCTCCTTGTGCACCCTGGGCTGGCCCCAAACTCTTAGTGCCCCTGCCTCCACCACTGGAGGGCTGGAATTAGAGATGTGATCACTGCACACAATATAAAACAGCGTTTCATTTCAGTGAAGGTTCTTGCTATTATAATATAAAGAGACCAGGAGCTGGAGTGATGACTCAATAATTAAAAGTAATGGCTGTTCTTCCAAAGTACCCGGTTGGATTCCCAGCACCCAATTTTCTGCAATGAAGTATCCTCCTAGATCCTTTTCCCACAACATTACTTTCTTTCTCTTTCTTTTTTGCTTTTTTTTTTTTTAAATGAGTATTTTGCCTACATGTATGTGTGTGCACCACGTTCATGTAGTGCATGTAGAAGCAAGAAGACAGTGTTGGATCCCCTGGAGATTGTAAGCCACCATTTGGGGTTGTGGGAATTGAACCAGGGTCCTCTAGAAGAGCAGTCAATGTTCTTAACTGCTGAGTCATCTCTCCAGCTCAAGCTAGATTTTTTTAAAAAAATAAGTACTTCTGTGGTTAAAATTTAGCTATTTTCTTTCTTTCTTTCTTTCTTTCTTTCTTTCTTTCTTTCTTTCTTT